GACACTCCGAAATAGCACTAGTGGAAGAGACGACAGCCCCATATGAGCACACTTAGGGCTGGAGGGGCAGAGAGGGGATGATGACAGAGGCCCGGGGACAGACCGGTGCAGCCAGAGTTGTAAACTACGGCCGGTCTCCGGGGAGAGACGGAAAGCCACCGCCGCGCTTCTCCCGCCCTCCTGGCTGCCACTCAATCCCCTGCCGCGTCTCCCATTGGCTGTGAGCAGCCGGAAGTCACTGACTAGAGGCCTGAGAAACGCCGGCGGCTGCAGACAAACCTCAGAGCGGGGGAAGGGCGAGCGTGCCTCAGTGGAGAGTGGGGGCGGAAGATCGGCTTCCCTAAGCACCCTCGTGTTTGACAGCGCCCGCCGTGCGCCCCGACCGTGGCGGGTGCTGCAGTTTGGGGCCAGTCAGAGCTGCTTCTGGGCAGCAGGGGGACCACCTCCCCAGGAGAGCGCAGCCCGAGCCGCCCCTCCTGGAGCGCCCAGCCCATCGCCAGGGCGGGAAACGGCCTCCGTCACGGAGGCTGGAGAGCCTGCGTGCTCTGGCCCCCTGAGCACCTGAGCGCGCCATCGCTGTGAGAAACATGCGTGGAGCACGTGCCGGGCATCTCCCAGATCCTCCGGAGACAGCAGTGCAAAGCCGCATAGTTCTGCTCCGGACGTGGCACTAGCCCACTAGTCGTGGAATATAAGGCAGGGGTGGTGACAGGTGTTCGTTGTAGCCACGTTTTACTGTGTGTTTGAACATTTTATCGACAATGAAAAATTGGAAGGAACAAAATCTTTGTCTTCAAAGAAACAGGCCATAAATAACGCTTGTGCGCGCGCGTGTGTGCGTGCGCGTGGATTTTGGCGCCAAGGGCGGAAAGAGAACATGAAACAGGAGTGAGGGTTGGCAAGCAGGTATGGAAATTCCGATTGTCCATCAGGCCGTTCCAGGAACTCCGCACGGAGAAGCGGACATCCGGAAGGCAGGACGGTGGTCCGGGCTGCTCCCTGGAGGAAGAGGCGTCCTGGCACTGGCCCCGCTTCCTGGAACAGCAAGGAAGCCAGGCAGAGCGGGGTGAGGAGCCGAGGACGCGGGCGGATCTGAGGCCACGGGGAGGCTGCGGGCCGAGGAGGGCCTGCCGCCCACTCGTGCCAGCGCCATGTGCAGGCGGCGTGCAGGCCTGGGGCTCCACAGGGCGTCCCTCAAACGCTCTCAGGACTAGAAGCAGGCGCCGAGCCGGTTTGCCTTTCAAATGTGGCGGCTGCCGGGGCTCGGCAGGAAGGGGCGGGCACTGCCGACGGCTTGGCGGCCTGGCGCGTTACCACGGCGACCCCGGCGGGGCCGGGCCCGCGGCGCGCGCGCTGTCGGCTGGGGGGTGCTGGAAGGCCGCGGCCCACAGGTGAGCGAGCACAGGTGGGCTCGGGACGGGCCCCAAAGCTCCAGGCCCTACCGCGTCCACCCTTCGTGGTAGTCCTGACTGTTATTTCGCATCCACACAACCGGGAAGGGTCCCGCCCAGCTTTGCAAGGTGTTCTTTTCCTGTCAACAGCTCTGGCTGAAGACAGCAGCCTCCACTCCGGGAGAGCCGATGATGTTCCCGAAAGTGGCTGTGTGTGTATGTTTTTTTATTTCGGGTGCAGCGTTAAGTAACACGCAGTGACATGTAAGAAAGTGATGTCTGGGTTCTCTCAGAGCTCCGAGTAAGCCAAGGAGAAAGTAGCAGCCTGAAACTAATCTGGCATTAATACCTCCTGTAACTTTTGCTAATCTCTCTCTCTCTTTTCTTAAAGATTTATTTTATTTATTTGAAAGACAGAGTTACAGAGAGAGGTAGAGACAGAGAGAGCTCTTCCATCCCCTGGTTCAGTCCCCAGATGGCCGCAACGGCCGGAGCTGCGCTGATCCAAAGCCAGGAGCCAGGAGCTTCTTCCGGGTCTCCCATGTGGGTGCAGGGGCCCAAGGACTTGGCCCATCCCCTACTGCTTTCCCAGGCCACAGCAGAGAGCTGGATCAGAAGTGGAGCAGCCAGGACGAGAACCGGTGCCCATATGGGAAGCCTGTGCTTCAGGCCAGGGCTTTAACCCACTGTGCCATAACACCAGCCCCTAATCTCTCTTTTTTTTAGATTTATTTGTTCATTTGAAAGTCAGAGTGACAGAGAAACCATCCACTGCTTCACTCACCAAATGGCTGCAACAGCCAGGGCTGGGCCAGGAAGTCAATCTGGGTCTCCCACGTAGGTGGCAGGGACTCAAGAACTTGAGCCATCGTGCACTGCTTCCCAGGCCCATTAGCAGAGAGCTGAGTTGGAAGCAGAGTAGTTGGGACTCTAACCAGCACCTGAGTGCTGTACCACAGCCCCTGCCCCAATTCCTCTTTTTAACAGAGACCTCCCATCCCAGCCTACTATGGGGCCACAGCATTCACCTAAGACTTACACTGGCTCTATTGGTGTTTTGTTACACAACCACATACAGTTTAGGACCTGAGCCTGTTTCCCTGCTTCCAGCTTTTACTCATGGTGTTTCTTTCCCTGAAGTGACTTGCCCTGTTCCTATGTATGATCATCAAAATTTGTCAGAACCAGGTGTGGTACAGGCCCCAGAGCCTGGTCAGACTACCGGAGGCCCCCACTGTAGCCAGGTTTTATAGAGCATGGGCCCCCAGTGTAGGAGGTGGGGGAAGAACAGGAGAGAAAAGCATCCAAGTCAGAGCCTGCTTGGCTGTGCCTGGCTGAGGGCCTACTATGTGCCAGGCACTGGGTATGCAGGAGAGGAAGGAGACGATGTGGTGCCTGCCATTGAGGAGCAGAGGCGGAATGGCCACAGATGCCAATCATAGGCATCTCCAGCAGACTATGTGACCACAACTGCCGTGTCAGAGGACGTGCAAGGACTGCTGCAAGTGTAGATTGGCAACTCCAGTATCCTGCCAGGAGCAAGACCCACAGCACTGTCCAGCTCTCCATGCTCCCTCTCCCTATCCCAGCCCCTCCCTGGGACTCCACACTTCCCTGTAATCCAGTGACAAGCTGTGTGCAGAGCCAGCTACCTGAAGTGTGGGATTTGGTACAAAATATAAAAGCTGGTCCTTTTTTTCCAGAAAGTGTTAAAAACAGTGTCAGCAGGGCAGCAAACCTAGCAGAAGCCCATCTAAGGTGGCAGGCCTGGGAAACTGGCTCTGGGTGGGTAGATGCCTGGGACACCCTGTTTTGGAACCCTCTGGGGCTGATATGGGGAGGCTGTCTTTGTGATCAGCCAGTCCCTGTGCTTGCTGCTGGCTCAGGTTTGGTGGAAGTGTGTGTGTGGAGCCCCAAGGCCCATGGAGGAAGATGGCAGTATCGCTGAGGAGAAGCAAGGATTAAGATTTGAAGAAGACTGTATCACCTTGCACAAGCTCAATGGAGACAGATGGACACGGATGTCTGCAGTGGAGGTCCTAAAGATGTGAGAAGCACAAATGAGGGCTCCAAAACTCGGAGGAGGCCCTGGACCACTACCTAGTCCCTCTGTAACTCAATCAGGCAGAGCTGGGCCAGTGGAAAAACCTAATTAGGGCCGGCATTATGGAGTAGCAGGTAAAGCCACCACCTGTAGTGCCAGCATCCCATATGGGTACTGGTTCATGTCCTGGATGCTCCACTACTAATCCAGCTCCCTGCTAATGGCCTGAGGAATAGAACATGGCCCAAGTGCTTGGGCCACTGCCACCCATGGAGGAAGCTCCTGGCTCCTGGCTTCAGCCTGGCCCAACCCTGGCAGTTGCAGCCATTTGGGGATTAATCCAGCAGATGAAAAATCTCTTTTTCTCTCCCTCTCTGTAACTCTTTCAAATACATTTTTTTTTTTTTTTTTTGACAGGCAGAGTGGACAGTGAGAGAGAGACAGAGAGAGAAAGGTCTTCCTTTTGCCGTTGGTTCACCCTCCAATGGCCGCCGCTGCAGCCGGCGCACCGCGCTGATCCTGGCAGGAGCCAGGAGCCAGGTGCTTTTTCCTGGTCTCCCATGGGGTGCAGGGCCCAAGCACCTGGGCCATCCTCCACTGCACTCCCTGGCCATAGCAGAGAGCTGGCCTGGAAGAGGGGCAACCGGGACAGAATCCGGCGCCCCAACCGGGACTAGAACCCGGTGTGCCGGCGCCGCAAGGCGGAGGATTAGCCTATTGAGCCACGGCGCCGGCTTTTTTTTTTTTTTTTTTTTTTTTTTTTTTTTTTTTGACAGGCAGAGTGGACAGTGAGAGAGAGACAGAGAGAGTCAAATACATTTTTAAAAATAAAAATAAATGCTAGCCAAGTGATCGGGTGGAGTGGCTAAGTAGAGGTCAGAGGCAGAGGGGTGGTCACCTGGTATGCCTGGGACTGTCTATTTTAGCACCGAAAGTCCAGGGTCCCTCAGTGCTGGGCAAAACTGGACAGTTTGCCACCCCAGAGGCAGCAGCTTGATTGGCGGGCTCTCCCAATAGCTCCCAATTTCCTGCAAAGGCAGTCCCTGAGTGCTGCCATTGTCCCATCACCAGGTAGATGAGGCAGGACCCAGGGAACTACAGTGCCAGGCATTGAGCCAGTGCTGTTTCTGCTCCGTGCACTGGGCAGCTGACTCCAGTCCAGCTCTCCTGGCATGGATCCAGCACTGGCCACTGCCCAGCCCTTATTCCTGTGGGTTCCCATAGCCTTAGAGTCAGTGACCATTTTAAGTGGTCATCCCGGTTATTAAATAGGTGTCTCAGAGCAGTTTCTCCTTGATGCCATCACAAACCCTGGTTCCTACTGGTCTCCCTGGGTTCCCAAGTGATTGTGCCATCAGATACCCCCCTTAGGGGGCCCCAGGAGAAGCCAGGAGAGGACAGCCCAGGGCCAGTCCAGCACAGCAGGATCCCCATCAAGGGCTGCTCACCTGCCCTGGGGACTCAGAACACACATGACTCAACCCACTTGAGCTCCGACAGGTGCCTCCCCAGGAATTCCCAGGATCCTGGCATTATATGAGGTACACTGAACCTCTGATGTCCCTACCCCTTTGCCAGCACCCTGTGGCCCTGCAGAAGCAGCCAACATGCCAATCTCCAAGTGTCCGAAGAAGTCAGAGACCCCGTGGAAGGAGTGGGACCGGAAGGCCCAGAAGAACGGACTGAGGCACCAGGTGTTTGCGGTGAACGGAGACCACTATGTGGGCGAGTGGAAGGACAACATGAAACATGGTGAGCGGGGAGCCTCAGGGGCTCCAGCGGTCAGTGTGGGCAACCAGGGCCAAGAAAGCAGTGTGCAGAGCTCACTAGAGATGTAAGAGGCCGGCGCCGTGGCTCACTTGGTTAATCTGCCGCCTGAGGTGCCAGCATCCCATATGGGCGCCGGGTTCTGATCCTGGTTGCTTCTCTTCCACTCCAGCTCTCTGCTGTGGCCCCGGAAGGCAGTGGAGGATGGCCCAAGTGTTTGGGCTCCTGCACCCGCATGGGAGACCAGGAAGAGGTACCTGGCTCCTGGCTTCGGATCGGCGCAGCGCCGGCCATAGTGTCCATTTGGGAAGCGAACCAATGGAAGGAAGACCTTTGTCTCTGTCTCTCTCTCTCACTGTGTATAACTCTACTTGTCAAAAAAATATATAAAATAAAAAAAAAAGAGAGAGAGAGAGAGATGTAAGAAGAGTCCCCAAGACTTTCCTGAGAGATGAGTGCTGGCCCAGACCAACCAGAGCCTCTGTGGGCAGTGGTTCTGGAACCAACCTTGGCCCCGACTTTAGCTGAAGGAAAGTCTTGGGAACAGCAGGGGACAAAGGGGCTTGGGAAGCCAGCCTGCACCCTGGACTGTGGAGACCAGCCAGTCACTATCTGAGCCCTGAAACAAGTGTGGTGTTGGGCAGTGCTCTGTGGAGGAAAAGGAGCCATCCGCTTCCTGGAAACCAGCTTGCAACTAGGATCTGAGGCTTCAGACTCAGACCCGATGCTCTGGGACAGCCGGCAGGAGCCCTCTGTGCCCCCCAGAAGTAGCCGGGGCTCCCATGTGATTGACGGGGCCACTGGGCTGGGCTCAGTTCTGACCACCAGGGGGCGAGGAGGGATCTGGTGACACTAACAAAAAAATGAGCTTTTATTAAAAAACTTGACACTGCTGCTCACTCTGGTCTTGTTGCTCCAGATCTATGCTCTTAACCATTCTTCTCCTCTTTTGACTCCCTGGGTTAAGTGCTTTGAAGTCCATGAACCTGGGTTAGAATCCCAGTTCTGCCAACTATGACCTTGAGCCACTCTGAGCCTCCACTTTCCCAGCTGTAAAATGGGAATATGGCAGGAGGCGGGACTTCTGGCATAGAGATTAAGACTCCAGTCAGGACCCCTGCATCTCATATTGCAGTGCCTGGTTTCAAATACCAATTCCAGGGGCTGGCGCTGTGGCATAGTGGGTAAAGCTGCTGCCTGCAGTGCCAGCATCCCATATGGGCATATGGGCACTGGTTCTAGTCCTGGCTGCTCCACTTCCAATCCAGCTGTCTGCTATGGCCTGGGAAAGCAGTGCCACATGGGAAACCCGGAAGAAGCTCCTGGCTCCTGGCTTCAGATTGGCACAGCTCTGGCCATTGTAGCCATCTGGGGAGTGAACCAGTGGATGGAAGACCTCTCTCTCTCTCTCTCTCTCCCTCTCTCTCTGTTTCTCTGCTTCTCCCTCTCTGTAACTCTTGCCTTTCAAATAAATAAATAAATCTTTAAAAGAGAGAGAGAGAAAAACAATGTCAGTTCCACTCCAGATTCCATTTTACTTCTTTTTATTATTAAAGACTTCATTTATTATTTATTTGAGAGGTAGCATTACAGACATAGAGAGGGAGAGACAGAGAGAAAGATCTTCCATCCACTGGTTTGCTCCCCAAATGGCTGCGACACCTGGAGCTGGGCCTATCCAAAGCCAAAAGCTTCTTCCAGATCTCCCATGTGGGTGCAGGGACCTAAGCACTTGGGCCATCTTCTACTGCTTTCCCAGGCCATAGCAGAGAGTAGGATTGGAATAAGAACAGCCAGAACTAGAACCAGCACCTATATGGGATGACAGTGCCGCAGGTAGAGGATTAACCTACTGTGCCACGGCCCTGGCCCCTCAGTTTACTTCTAATGCACACACTGGAAGGCAGTAGTTCATGGCTCAGGTACTTGGGTCCCTGCCACCTATGTGGGAAATCTGGATTGAGAGGCAGAGTTACAGAGAGAGAGAGGCAGAGACAGAGATCTTCCATTTGCTAGTTCATTCCCTAAATGGCTGCAACAGCCGGAGCTGGACTGATCTGAAGCCAGGATCCAGGAACTTCTCCTGGGTCTCCCACATGGGTGCAGGGGCCCAAACATTTGGGCCATTTCCACTGCTTTCCCAGGCCATTAGCACAGAGCTGGATTGGAAGTGGAGGAGCCAGAACACGAACTGGCACTCATATGGGATGGCGGCACTGCAGGCAGAGACTTAACCTACTATGCCACAACCCCGGCCCCATAAATCTTTCTAAAAGGGGACAGGGTGGAAATAATACTTGTTTGTAGCCAGTGCCACAGCTCACTTGGTTAATCCTCCGCCTGCGGCACTGGCACCCCAGGTTCTAGTCCCAGTTGGGGCGCCGGATTCTGTCCTGGTTGCTTCTCTTCCAGTCCAGCTCTCTGCTGTGGCCCAGGAAGGCAGTGGAGGATGGCCCAGGTCCTTGGGCCCTGCACCTGCATGAGAGACCAGGAGGAAGCACCTGGCTCCTGGCTTTGGATCGGCACAACGTGGTGGCCACTGCGCACCGGCCGTAGCGGCCATTTGAGGGGTGAACCAACGGAAAAGGAAGACCTTTCTCTCTGTCTCTCTCTCTGTCTAACTTTGCCTGTCAAAAAATAAATAATAATAATAATAATAATACTTGTTTGTAACAGTAAGAGGCAACATCTTTCAAATGCATAGTCCACAGTCTGTGCAGAAAGGGAACTTCTAGCATGTTCTTTTAGGGCTGTGTGTGGCAGGGGTCACTACTCAAAAGCTTTCTTTGTCCAAGATGCCCTCCAAAGCTGACCCCACCCAGTATGAGGCAAGACACTCCCCTTCAGCTCCTCCTTAAAAGCATGACTCCGGCTGCTCTGCACTGTATGCAGTTAAAGATGCCTGCGTGTGTTCATTTCTCGAGGATAGTGTGTGGGGCGGGCGGCGCCCTGGACTGGGGTCAGGACACTGAAGTTCTGAACCTGGCTCTGCCACTGAGTCACTGGGAGGCTTCAGGCAGATCCGTTCCCATTCTCTGGATCTTGGCTTCCCCAGCTGAGATCCCACAGTGTGGGCTGATCTGTGTGCCTTCTGCGTGAGTCCTGCTTCCCCTCAGACCCCGGAGGAGGTATTGACACAGAACTTATGGGCCTCTCAAGCCCCTCTCTCCCCAAGACATGCCTCTGATCAAGTTGAAGCTGCTGTGGCAAAAGCAGATTGGGGGGCTGCCACTGTAAAGTAGCAGGTAAAGCCACCACCTGCAGTGCCAGCATCCCATATGGGCGCTGGTTCGAGTCCCAGCTGCCCCACTTCCAATCCAGCTCTCTGCCATGGCCTGGGAAAGCAGTAGAAGATGGCCCAAGTCCTTGGGCCCCTGCACCCATGTGGGAAAACTGGAAAAAGCTCCTGGCTCCTGGCTTCAGATCAGTGCAGCTCCAGCTGTTGCAGCCAATTGGGGAGTGAAGCAGCAGATGGAAGACCTCTCTCTCTGCCTCTCTTTCTGTCTCTGTGTAACTGTTTCAAATAAATAAATCTTTAAAAAAAAAAAAAAAAGATTGGAAGTGGTTAGGAGAGTCCCTAGGCAGGGCGAGCACAGAGTGGCCTGGCTCATTCCTTCCACAAACTTAACGACCTCGCAGCCACTGGCAGGCTCTGTGCTGGGCATCTGGCATGATCCCAACCCTCAGGGAGCTTCCAGTTTTGCAGGGAATCTGCCAGTACCAGAGGGTAGGGTAGCATTCCCATTCTACAGAAGAGGAAACCAGAGCTCAGAGATGGGAAGTAGCTGGAAATGGTGGTGTCAGGGTATGAAGGGGCACAGGGAGGGGCTGTGAGAACATGTGAAAGCCCAAGGGGCCATGTTTGGATTGAGTCCAAAAGAGCGAGGACGAGTTAGCCGGGCAGAGGGCTGTACCTCTAGCCAGAGGAGACAGAACAAGAGGATGCTGCAGAGTGTTAGAGGGAAGAGGCTTGTTCCAGGACCCGACTGGGAGCCAGCGTGGCTGGAGCAGTGAGGGAGAGGAGGCCAGGGCCAGCCATATACGGCCTGCGGTGAGTTTGGCCTTTATCCCAGAGGCAGATAGTAAATGACTTAATGGAGGGGCCTTGGTCAGCCCTGGCTGTATCCCCACCATTCCTGACACCTACAGCTGGATACGGCTGAACAAATGGTGCATCCATGACTTAGGAAGAACCCAACTCACACTGATGCCACAGCAGTTCTCGAGCACCTACTGTGTGCCAGGGACCATAGTACGTAGAGATTCAGCGGTGAGGCAAGAGGCTTGTTGACTGAATAAGATGGTGTGCTAGCGGTGCTAAAATTAACTAGGTGGATTCACTTCAGTTCTGAGCCAGGACTGAGGGTGAGGGAGTCAGCCGAGTGGAGCTTTGCAGGGACCAGCATTCCAGGACGGAGGAACAGCTGGAGCAAAGGAGGCCAGGGGCGTTGGACAAAGTGAGGGAAAGCAGGCCAGAGGGGTGGCATGTGGTAGGGCGGGGAAGACAGGTCGTGCAGTTACGTGGGTGCCTGCCACCCACTTGGCAAACCTGGGGTGAGTTTTGGGTTCTTGGCCCTTGCATCCACATGGGAGACCTGGAAGATGCTCCTGACTCCTGGCTTCAGCCTGGCCCAACCCCAACTCTTGCAGGCATTTGGGGAGCAAACTAGTACATCGACAATCTCTGTCTCTGTTTCTCTGCCTCTGTCTCTATCTCTCTGCCTTTCAAATACACAAAGATAAAATGTAAAGCACTTCTTTAAGTTTCTAACAATCAAATCTACCTGGCGGATTTGAAGTGTCCACCATGATGTGATGATGGATGGTCACCATGTTGTGTGGTAGGCTCCAGAACTGACTTGTGTATGGCAGGGTCATCTCCCCATTCCCTCCTCTCTTCAGGCCCTGGTAGCCACCATTCTGCTCTCTTTTTCTACAAGTGTGATTTTTTGGCTTCTACATAGAGCGAGGTGCTGTAATAATTGTCTGCAATGCCTTAACCTGCTGAGCCACAGCACGGCCCCAACTCCGTTTTTCAGAAGAGGAATCTGAGGCCCTGTGAACTCCTAGGGACAATGTCAGATTTATTGCTGGGCTACCAAGATCCAAGGCATGAATTGGCCCACGTGGGTACTCCACAAATAGTACTTGTCTGAAACACTTGGAACTAAAAGTGGTTTTGGTTTCAGTTTTTTTGGGGGGAATATTTGCCCATATACAAGTCTCAACAGGAAGTTGATTGTTTCATATCATATGTAGCCTATACACATAGCCTAAACAATATTTTTAGTTCACCTGCATTTTTTTTTTTTTTGGACAGGCAGAGTGGACAGTGAGAGAGACAGAGAGAAAGGTCATCCTTTGCCATTGGTTCACCCTCCAATGGCCGCCATGGCTGGCGCTCTGCAGCTGGCGCACTGCGCTGATCCGATGGCAGGAGCCAGGAGCCAGGTGCTTTTCCTGGTCTCCCATGGGGTGCAGGGCTCAAGCACCTGGGCCATCCTCCACTGCACTCCCGGGCCACAGCAGAGAGCTGGCCTGGAAGAGGGGCAACCGGGACAGAATCCGGCGCCCCGACTGGGACTAGAACCTGGTGTGCCGGCGCTGCTAGGCGGAGGATTAGCCTAGTGAGCCACGGCGCCGGCCTGCATTCATTTTTTTTGACAGGCAGAGTTAGACAGTGAGAGAGAGAAAGACAAAGAGAAAGGTCTTCCTTCCATTGGTTCAAATGGCCACTATGGCTGGTGCGCTGTGCCGATCTGAAGCCAGGAGCCAGGTGCTTCCTCCTGGTCTCCCATGTGGGTGCAGGGCCCAAGCACTTGGGCCATCCTCCACTGCCTTCCCGGGGGCCACAGCAGAGAGCTGGGCTGGAAGAGGAGCAACTGGGACAGAATCTGGCACCCCAACCGGGACTAGAACCTGGGGTGCCGGCGCTGCAGGCAGAGGATTAGCCAAGTGAGCCCTGGCGCCAGCCCGGTTCACCTGCATTTTGATTATGATCTGTCACCTGAAGTCAGGTGTGAAATTTTCCACTTGTGGTGTCATGTCAGTACTCTGGAAGTTTCAGATTTTGAGTATTTTGAATTTCAGATTTCTGGATTAGGGATACGCAATCTGTTTTTTATTCTTTTTTTTTTTTTTTTAAGATTTATTTACTTGAAAGGCAGAGTGTCAGAGAGAGAAAGAGATGGGCCTTCTATCTGCTGGCTCACTCTCCAAATTCCTGCAGCTATGGCTGAAGCCAGGAGCCAGGAGCTCCATCCAAGTCTCCCACATGAATGCAAGGAACTCAAGTACCTGAGCCATCATCCCCTGCTTCCCAGGTTCTTTAGCAGGGACCCAGACCAGGAAGTGAGCAGCCGGGACTCAAACCAGCGCTCTGATACAGGATGCAGGCGTCCCAAGCTGTGGCTTTACCCGAGGCACCACAATGCCTGCCCTGTGTTTCTTGTTTAACAGATATTAATCACCTATGATATGCCAGACACTGTTATGCAGGGCAATGAATGAAACAGACCAGTCTGTGCCCTCCTGGGTTTGGAGACAGACAATAGACAATAGAGGACATAAAGAATCACCTGTTATGTGAAAAGAAACAGAGGGCTATAAGGGTTGTAGTTTCAGGTGGCTGGGCTGGGCCTCGTGGAGAATGTGAGAATGGACACAGGTGTACAGGAGGAAGAGTGAGTGAACATCTGGAGAAATAAGAAGGCCTTGAGGCAGGAGCATGGCTGGCAGGTCCCAGGAACGTCATGGAAATTCTAGGGGCTGCAGGGCAATTGGAAGGTAGGAGTGCGGGACGAGGATTAGGACTCCCTGTCTGTTTCGGAGAATTGAAGAAAATATTCGGAACATGTGGCCATCTGTCCATGCAGCACTATTAGGCAGTGAAGCTGATGGGGCAGGCATCGTGATACGCCAGGTTCTGCCACCACTTTGAACGCCCACCTCCCATCTTGGGGTGTGGGCCGAAATCTCCGCTCCTCCACTTCTTATCCAGCTTCCTGCTAATGCAGCTTGGGAGGCAGCAGATGATGATTCAAGTGCTTGGGCCCCCTCCCACCCATGTGGGGAGACCAGGATGGAGTTTCTGGCTCCTGGCTTCAGCCTGGCCCAGGTCCTGTCTGTTATGAGTATTTGGGGAGTGAACTGGTGACTAAAGATCTCTTTTTGTCTTTCAAAGAAATAAATAAACATTTTTAAAGATTTATTTATTTATTTGAAAGTCAGAGTTACACAGAGAAAGAAGGGGAGGCAGAGAGAGAGAGAGGTCTTCCATCTGCTGGTTCACTCCTCAGATGGCTGCAATGGCTGGAGCTGTGCTGATCAGATCAGAAGACAGTAGCCAGGAGCTTTTTCCAGTTTTCCCACATGGGTGCAGGGGCCCAAGGACTTGGGCCATCTTCTACTGCTTTCCCAGGCCATAGCAGAGAGCCGGATTGGAAGTGGAGTAGCCAGGACTCTAACCAACACCCATATGGGATGCCGACACTGCAGGCTGCAGCTTTACCCGCCACACCGCAGTGCCGGCCCCATAAATAAACGTTTTTAAAAGCGGTAAAGGTGAAGCAGTGAGAGTGGGTTTCTGTCTGGTGTTTACTATGTTCTTCCGGCTTCAGGGCAGAAGGCTAGGGAAACGCTGTTTGTAGAAACGGAACTTTTCTGGGTTCTGGGATCTAGAGATGAGGCCCAGATCCTGTTCCCACCCTGGAGCACCATCCTGTTAGCGGCAGGGACCCCCTTCCCTGCCCCAGGGCAACGCACATCTGCTGGGAGGGAGGAAAAGCCAGGAGATGTGAGATCCCCTCTGCGTGTCACCAGGGAAAGGAACCCAGTTCTGGAAGAAGAAAGGAGCCATCTACGAGGGGGACTGGCAGTACGGGAAGCGAGATGGCTACGGCACCCTCAGCCTTCCTGACCAAGAGGCAGGAAAGTACCAGAGAGTCTACTCGGGCTGGTGGAAGAACAACAAGAAATCGGTGAGTGTGTGGCTGTGTGCGTGTGTGAGTGTGTAAGAGTGAGCATGTGTGTGAGCACACATGTGTGAGTGTATGAATTTATGAGTGTAAGTGAGCATGTGTGTACTGTGAACATGTGTTTGTGAATGAGCGTGTGTGTGAGTGAATGAGCACGTGTGTGTACATATGTGTGTGAGCATGAGTGTATGAATGTGTGCATGTGTGAGTGTGAACAGGTGGGCATCAGAGTAGCAGTCAGAGAGATGTGGGAAAAGGGAAGGGGGTTTCTACCAGGGAAAATACAGGGTTATGTGAGGGTGGGAGACTGAAGGGGTGGGGGTATAGTCCAGACTTCTCAGAACAAAACCCAGGAAACAGGAAGCCGGCGGAGAGGGCCCAGGGAGGAGCCCAGGAAACCCTGTGGCTACTGAGCTGCCAGGCTTGTAAGGGAGGGCTCCTTCTTCAGTCCCCACCCCCACCCTGCATTTCCTGGCTTTCTTTTCTCTGGGCTCCTGAGAATCCCCCTTCTGCTGGGCCTGGGTAAAGTTGGGGGGGAAGGGAATAAAAGTGGGGGGAAGAAAGCAGAGGCCACACCCTTGGTCACAGGATGAGAGGGGAGGGTCCTGAGAGGCGCCCATGAACACCCAACTGCGGACAGATGCCCTTAGTTACTTTCGCACACCCCCTGGGCCGTGGTGACAGGTAATAATAGCACTGCTATTTAGCAACAGCCGCGGTGATACTCCAGTTAACACTCAAGACCATCTTCCTTTTACTGCTGAAAACGGCTCAGAGAGGTGGAGTGCCTGGCCTGGGATCAGACAGTTGGCAAGGGGTAGAGCCCAGGTCTTCATGTTCTCTGTTCTAAAATTGCTTATTGGGGCTGGTGCCGCGACTCACTAGGCTAATCCTCCGCCTTGCGGCGCCGGCACCCCGGGTTCTAGTCCCGGTCGGGGCGCCGGATTCTGTCCCGGTTGCCCCTCTTCCAGGTCAGCTCTCTGCTGTGGCCAGGGAGTGCAGTGGAGGATGGCCCAGGTGCTTGGGCCCTGCACCCCATGGGAGACCAGGATAAGTACCTGGCTCCTGCCATTGGATCAGCGTGGTGCGCCAGCCGCAGTGCGCAGGCCACGGCAGCCATTGGAGGGTGAACCAATGGCAAAGGAAGACCTTTCTTTCTGTCTCTCTCTCTCACTGTCCACTCTGCCTGTAAAAAAAAAAAAAAAAAAAAAAATTGCTTATTGGCCAGTGGGAGAGAATGCCTAAGATAAGCCTTTACATATGACTTGGTGTTAGGATAGAGGTTTTCACAGGTTGTCTACAGGGGGATCATTCAGCTTAGCCTTGGAAATTCGAGGCAAGCTTCCTGTAGGGGGCTACATCAAAAGTTGCTAGTTGGGGGTTAGCGCTGTGGCATAGTAGGCTAAGCCTCTGCCTGCAGTGCTGGCATCCCATATGGGCACCGAGGCCAAGCCGCAGCAAGATGCCAGATCCTGCATGGGAGTACCTAGCTCTGAGTCTCTACTCCAGCTCCTGCTCGAGCTTCCTGCACACCCTGGGAGGCAGCAGGAGAGACTGGGTTCCTGCCACCCACCCTGGAGACTGAGTTCCCAGCTCCTGGCTTCTGCAGGGCTCCGCTCTCTTGAGCTTTTGAGGAGTGAGCCAGGAAACGGGCGCTCTCTCTGCCTCTCAAATAAGTTAATACTTTTTTCTCCCCAAAGATTTATTTATTTGAAAGGCAGCATTACAGAGAGAGAGGGAGACAAAGAGAGAGAGATCTTCCATCCACTGATCCACTCCCTAAATGGCCACAATGGCCGGAGCTGGTCCAGGCCAAAGCCAGGAGCCAGGAGCTGCTTCTGGGTTCCCCATGTCGGTGCAGGGGCCCAAGCCCTTGGGTCATCTCCCACTGCTTTCCCAGGCACATTAGCAGGGAGCTGGATTTTAAGTAGAGCAGCAGGGATACTAACCTGCACCCATATGGGATGCTGGCATGGCAAGCAAGGATTTTACCCTTTAGTCACAACACTGGCCCAGAATTCTGAGTAGACTTTGCGCTGTTAACAGAAGCTCCTCGTCTGCAGGGAGTCTGGCTTCCCCTTGGGTAGACGCTCAGTGTGGTGTTTATGTTCGTCTTTCTAGGAAGAAAACCCACAGCTCTGATCTGATTCTGTGAGACTCTAATGGGGTCAGAGTCCCTGGGGATAGGGTGGGGGTGGGGCAACTAGATCAGAGGTTGGTTTAAGGTCCCCTGGCTTCCATGCATGGGCAGCAGTGAGAACCCGCAGGGAGGAGTGATGGTGGGCTGCCTGGAGGCGGCAGCAGAGGCAGAGATAGACAGCCTGGGGTCATCTTTGGAGGGGCAACCCTCCCCTGGGGTGCAGGGCCCAGGAAGGAAGCCAGGAGGAACTCCTGCGAGTGGCTCCCGGCCTGGAATAAGGTGGGCCGCCACAGACCAGGACATCTTCTTGCTTGCAGGGCTATGGAATCCAGTTTTACGGACCCAAGGAGTATTACGAGGGTGAGTGGTGTGGCGACCAGCGCAGTGGGTGGGGCCGCATGTACTACAGCAATGGTGACATCTACGAGGGCCAGTGGTGGAACGACAAGCACGAAGGAGAGGGAATGCTGCGGTTAAGTGAGTGCCCCGCCCCCATCCCGCCGGCCCCGCCCTGCCCCACCCCTGGGACCTGGCTGGCCACGCCCTGTGCAACTGCCTCTGCCCCTCTTTGGGGGCCTGCCTGGCCTTGCCTGACCTGGGATAAGGTTAAGGAGATGCCCAGGCCTCCCTTGATGTTATAATTAACTTCTTTCTTTCTTTTTTTTTTTTTTAAAGATTTATTTTATTTGCTTGAGAAGCAGAGTTGAGAGAGCGAGAGCAAGAAGGTGGGGGGAAGAAGTAGAGCAAGATCTTCCATCTGCTGGTTCACTCCCCGAATGACTGCAACAAGCCGGGCTGGGCCAGGCTGAAGCCATAACAAGGAGCTTCTTCCAGGTCTCCTGCCATGGTGCAGGGGTCCAAGCACTTGGGCCATCTTCTACTGCTTTCCCAGGCACATTAGCAGAGAGCTGGATAGGAAGTGGAGTGCCCATATGGAATGCCTGCATTGCAGGCAGCGGCTTAACCTGCTATGCCACAGCGCCGGCCGCAATAAGACAATTTCTTATAGCGACAGTGATCAACAGTACTGAACACATTTAATCCTCACAAAGCATCCTGTAGGGTACAGTGAACTGAGCCCATGAGGTGAAGTCACTCCCACAAGGTCAGACAGGCTGTTAGTTGTGGGTCACAAGTGCTAAGGAATTCTCCTTGGAAAACAGGAAAGTGTGCTGGGAAGTGGTGAAGGAGCTGGGGGCGGGGCTGTTTAGCTTGACACGAGGCCAAGGAATGACTCTTGGGAGAGGTGTTTGCACGCTGAACAGAGACCTGCTGGCAGAGGAGCCAGGTCCTGGCCAGAGAGGGAGCCAGGTCCTGGCCAGAGAGGGAAGAGTCGCCAGCGAGAAACTGTCCTGTTCGGACTCATCCACGCCCTGGGCTTTCCAGAGCAGAAAGCCAATCTTATCAGGCTCTGTTCTCCCTGTGGCCCTCAGGCTGGGGCCCAGCCCTTCCTGTGGCCTTTGGGGCTCAGCCTCCAACTCCCCCCCCCCCCCCCCCCGCCTTCCCCTGGACTCCCGTTGGTTCTGGCCTCACTAACTTGCAGTTCCTCCCACAGGACTGTGGCACTGCTCTTCCATGTTTCTGGAATGCTTTTCCCTACAACGTTGCTTGTCCCTCCGCAGGTCCTTCTCTGTCCACTCCACCCAGAGCACACCTCCTTATTTTCAGCACCCTCTTCCTTCCCTTCACAGCATGAGAGGTAGAACCTTGGGCGAGTTGCTTTGCCTGTGGGTGCCTCAGTCTCCATTTCACAATGCCTGGGTGCTGGGAGAGCTCCAAGGGTATCCTTTTTCCAGCCTGCCTGGGGTCAGATCCTGGCCTGAGCTCTTCCTAGCAGTGGGTAGGCCTTGTTGATTGGCTTAACCTGCACTTGGTTGTCCTCATCCATAAGTCAGAATAAAAATGAAATGTACCTACTTCCTGGGGTTACTGCGAAGGTTAACTGAGGCTTATTTGCACAGGGCCTGGCGTGGTTTTGACACCTGCCTGTAGGTCCCCAGGGCAGTCTTCTCCACGGTGGTGGAGGGTCAGCCTGGCCTGGTGAATGCAGCAGCCACACCCACTGTCCTTTCCCAGAGAACGGGAACCGCTACGAGGGCTACTGGCAGAGAGGCATGAAGAACGGACATGGGCGTTTCTTCCACCTGGACCACGGTCAGCTGTTTGAAGGCTTCTGGGTAGATGACGTGGCCAAATGCGGCACCATGATCGACTTCGGCCGTGATGAGGCCCCACAGCCCACCCAGTTCCCCATTCCTGAGGTGGGCAGCCCTCACCAGGGTCCTGGAGCCACACCCAGAGAGAAACAGAAACCAGCAGTGCTGGCCCTGCCCAGCCTCTCCCAGCTGGAGAACAGACATGGTTTTGTTTTCAGTCAGGGCATCCCAGGGGAAGTGGGGAGTTGGGAAGTTGCCCCCGAGGCTGGCAGCCTGGGCCTTCCATGCTCCCCAAACCAGCCCCCTGCTATTCCCTCCAGATCAAAGTTCTAGACCCCGACGGTGTGCTGGAGGAAGCCTTGGCCATGTTCAAGAAGACAGAGGAAGAGGAAGGAGAGTGATGCCAGGTGAGGGGTGGGCATGCCTGCCCCCCTGTGTTGTGGCTGAGTCAGCTCCAGATCCTGGAACAACACACAGATTCCCTGGGATCCCCAAAGGGCTGGGGGGTGGGGGGTGGGGCAGGACCGGAGAGGGCAGGTTTCTCGCCTCCTGCCGTGCAGCAGATCCTCTCGGTCCCTTCCCTTCAAAACCCATTGTCTTGCCAGACCTGCCCAGAATGTCCCGGACTCACACAGGGCCTGCTGGGAGGGGCACAGGGACTGGAGTCAGGGAACCCGCTGGTTCTTAAATGTCCTTGAGTGAGGCCTTCAGTGCCGACCTCCATGTGCGCCTCTTTCCCTGGGGTCAGCCCCTGCCTCTCCCGGCTGGGTGTGAATAAGGGTGTAGGGAGGCGGCTGTGGCACAGCATCATCCAGACGCCAGCTCCCGCCACCCCCTCACTCCTGCAGAGAACGCCAAGGCTTCAGGACAAGCAAGCCTGTGTCACCCAGCTGCTCAGACCGGTGAGGCTCCTGTTGGAGGAGCGAGCAGCAACTTTGGGCACGCCCTTGGCACCCTCAGAGGGCACCTTACTCCTCCAGCACTGGGCCGTGCTTGGCCACTAAGAGGCCATTGAGTCTCCCCCAGGCTGGCCTTGGGGACCCTCTCGTGATGACCTTTGTGCTATGACCTCAACCCACAGCACATGAGAATAAAGAAGAACCCGGTGGCTTAGGCGGGGGCCTGTGGTGCAAGGTTGGGCATGAGGGGAGCAGTGGGAGTTCAGGTGAACAGGAAAGATGTCTCCAGGCTGCACGGCTTTAGCTTGGGGGGAGAGCAGGTGGCTCCAGGTCTCTGACCTCTGAGTTAGCCCAAAGAGGAGAGTGAGCCTGCTCCCCAACACCCTGGCCACCAGAATTTGAGATTAGGACCCGACCTGGCTTCTCAGCCTAGCACAGGGGCTCCTGACCTTGTGGAAGCTTCAAAAGCCACAACTGTTCAAGGATTCCCATCTAATCATCTGGGGTGAAGCCCTGGGCTTGCTCCTTCTTTTTCTTCTTCTTTTTTTTTTTAAGACTTATTTATTTGAAAGGCGAAAGGAGAAAGAGAGAAAAAAACGAGCTAGGGTTGCACTAGGCCGAAGCCAGCAGCCAGGAACTCCATCTGGGTCTCCCACATGTGTGGCAGGGGCTCTAGTGGTTGAGCCATCATCCACTAGCTTCCCAGGTGCATGAGCAGGAAGCTGGAATTGGGAGCGGAGCTGGGACTTGAACCCAGGCACTCTGATGTGGGATGCAGGCGTCCCAAGTTTAGTCCTGACTGCTGTGCCAGACGCCTGCCCCCTGAGGCTTTGATAACAGGTGTGATGCTGCTGCTGAGGTTACCGTGGACCAGATACCTGGAAGAGCTCTGCAGAGTTCTCGTCTGCCCTGCATTCCTGAGATGGGAGGGGCTGCGGCACGTGGGTCACACTGCTGGCGAGGAATCCCAGACCTGGCCATTTGCGCTTGGGAATGTCACCCAAATTCTGTCTCCCTGGTTTCCTTGCTGGTAACATGGGACGATATTATACTTACCACCTGGGTTTACTGTGGTTAGCAGCTGTGACCGTCCAATAAGGCAATGGTTCTTAACCATTTTGCCCATTCCCCACCCCAGCTCCTTGGCCACATCTGGCAATGTGCAGGAATGTTTTTGGTTGTCACATATAGTGGAATGTCGCCGGGATCTAGTGGGCAGAGGCTGGAGATGCTGCTAAACATGCTACAATATAAAGACACCACAAAAGGTGAGCTTTGGTGCAGCAGTTAAGATCCCACTGGGGACTCCTGCATCCCACACTGGTGTGCCTGGGCTTCAGTCCTGCCTTTACTCCCAATCCGACTTCTTGCTTGAGAGGCAGCAAGTGACGACTCAAGTCCTTGGGCCACTGGCACCTACGTGAAGACCCAGATTGAGTTCCAGGTTCCTGGCTTTGGCCTGGTGCAGCCCCAGCTGTTGCGGGCATTTGGGGAGTGAACCAACAGATGGAAGATCTCTGTCTCTCTGCCTTTCAAATAAATATCAACACTTTTTTTTTTTTTTTTTTTTTTTTGGACAGGCAGAGTGGACAGTGAGAGACAGAGAGAAAGGAAATATAAACACAATTCTTAAAAGTTTTTTTTTTTTTTTTTAATCCAGCTCCCTGCTAATGTGTCAGGAAAAGCAGTGGAAGATGGCCCAAGTTCTTAGGTCCCTGCACCCATGTGGGAGACCCAGAAGAAACTCCTGGCTCTTGGCTTCAGCCTGGCCCAACCCTAGCCTTTGCAGCCATTTGAGAAGTGAACCAGTGGATGGAAGATCTCTCTCTCTCTGTAACTCTTTCAAATAAAATAAATCGTTAAAAATAAATAACAAATAATAAAAAAAGAACCATTCGGCCCAAAGCTGACAGTATTGAGCTCCAGGAACCCTGAAGTACTGCTGGCAAAGTCCTTCAGTCCTCAATGAGTGCCCGGCTCTCAGAAAAGGCTCAATAAAGGCTGGCTCAGGGTTCTTGGTGCTCCCTAGGCCAGGTGGCCTGGCCCTGGGCTTGTGTTCCTGGCCACCCTGGGATGTAGCATCAACAGTAACCACCAGATACGGAGCTCACTCTGTGCCAGGCTCTGTGCTGACAGCTTTGCAGGCCCCCTGCCTTGTGACAGCCATCTGCAAGGTGTCTTGCTGTTATTAGTGCCATTTAATTTTTTTTAAAGTTTTTTATTTATTTCAAAGGCAGAGATACAGAGCAAGAAGAAGAGACACAGAGAGGTTTTCCATCCACTGGTTCACTCTCCTAATGGCTGCAACAGTCAGGGCTGGGCCAGGCAAAAGCCAGGAGCCACGAGCTTTATTCTGGGTCTCCCATGCAGGCATTGAGGCCCAAACACTTGGGCCATCTTCCATTGCTTTCCTAAGCATATTAACAGGGAGCTGGATCAGAAGTGGAGCAGCCAGGACTTGAACCGGCGTCCATATGGGATGCCTACACTGCAGGCATAGGCTTAGCCTTTTATGCCACAGCACCGGCCCTATTACTACAATTTTAGAAAAGGAAATTGAGGTTTAGGGAGGTTCACAAGCCACCACCACGCTAGTCCTGGGCTTAAACCTGGGTCTGTCTGCTCTTTCAAGTACAGAAGGGTGGGGATGCGGGTGGGGTGGGGGAAGAGTGTGTGTGTTGTTTAGGTGTAGAACATCATTAGCTGGGAATACAATACACTGGTGTCAATGGGGAGCCCAACTGGGGTTCCTGTGATGGTGGGAGAGCAGCTTCTCACTGTTGTATTGGCAGCCATGAGAATGTGTTACCTCCTGTATTCAAAATGTCAGTAAAAGTGAAATTGAAGGGACTGTGCTCTTAACTGCCAGCGCGAGTACCTGGGGTTCATGTTAGGGATTCCAGAGACAGACCCTGACCAACCTGAATCAGAATCTCCAGGGGGGTTTCCCAAGCCCAGCTGTTGATGGTGGAGTGCAGGCCAGTCTGAGGAGGAGAAGCTAAGGCATGAAGAGCCCAAAGCAACTCCAGCCACATCCAGGATAGGATCTCTGCAGAAGTAAGGCTGTCTTAGGGGAATGCTGCAAAATGCAGTGTCCCGATTTTCTCTGGGGGGCAGTGGGGAGCTCCACACAGGCCCTGCCCAGCCTCCCTGCTCCCAGACAGGGGCAGGGCCTGGTGCACAGGGTGCAGGGTGAGTGGGAGAAGCTTCAGTGAGGAGGCCCCACTGCCACGCAGCCCAGGAAACTGCTGTTCACTGTGTTGGGGGCACCGCAGGACAAGACTTGAAGGCCACACTTCCCAATCTGTGTTCCTCAAGCCTCGGGTTCTGGGAAAGCATCCGGGGAACAATGATGGGAGGGGGATAAATATTAGGCCCGTCACTGCCACACCCAACATTTCTATGTTTGGTGGCTTTAACAGTTTTCTCAGTTCTGGAGGCTGAAGTCCGAGACCAAGCTGCCGTCAGGGTTGGTTTCTGCTGAAACCTTTCCTTCTGACTTGAAGCAAGCAGCCGCCTTCGTGCTGTGGCCCCACACGGCGTTATCTGTGCCTGCAGCCCTGGTGTCTCTTCCTCTTCCCCCATGCAGTTTTCAGTTCAGCCAGAGCTCTCGCTCTTACAAATTCACTTTATACATTTGGGTTTTTGCAACAGACAGAAACCTCAAACTCCAGGGCCTGTGGGTCCAAGCAATTCTCATACAAGTGAAGCTGGCCTGGGTGCGGAGTAAGACGGGTGGTGGCAAAGACAGGTCCTGCAACTCAACTCCTCCTCATTAGTAATTAAAAAAAAAAAAAAAAGGATTTATTTATCTGAAAGGCAAGAATTAGAGAGGGAGAGGCAGAGAGAGAGATTTTGCATCCCATAGTTCACTCTCCAAATAGTCTCAACAGCCAGGGCTAGGCCAGGGCAAAGCCAGAGCCTGGAAATCCATCCAGGTCCCTGGCACGGGAGGCAGAGACCCAAGGACTTGGGTCATCTTCTACTGCTTTCCCCGGCCCATTAGCAGGGAGCTGGATCAGAAGTGGAGCAGTGGGGACTCAAATTGGAGTTCACATGGGCTGTGGGGACTGGAAGCAGCAATGTGACCCTCTGTGCCATGGTGCCGGCCCCTGCTCACGACTGTTCTGCAAGACACTGGCCCAGATTAGATTGTGTGAGAGCATGTGCGTGAGTCAGACTTTCCAGGTTACCTATCTCACCTGGGCATCAGCCTCGCCATCTGCGAAATGGAGCTGACAAGGATGCTGAGGATTCAGAGCCAACACACAGTGCTTAGAGCAGCATCCACACATCAGGGCGGGTCCCCGATGCAGCCTCACTTACCTAATAGGCCTTCCCAAATGCACAGCTGACTCTAAGAATGAGAAAGTGCCAGAGAAAACAAACTACGAGCGCATCTTCCAGAACCACAGGCCTGGACTCTCCAAAGACGTTTAAGTTACAAAAGAGAAAGAATGAAGAACTGTTCCAAATGAAAGGAAACCAAGATGTGACAGCTCAAGGCAGTGCTTGATCTTGGACTGGCAAAGAAATTGCTAGAAGGGACACTACTGGGACAAGTGGGAAAATGAAATGACTATTATATTAGGTAACAATATTATCAAGGTCAACTTCCTGGTGATTGATTTGTGGTTATGTAGCAGAACGCTCTTTTGGAGGAGTGGTCAGGCATAAAAAATGACAATATGTGTAATTAAAGAACATGGCGGGGATGGCACTGGGGTGTAGCAGGTAAAGCAGCCATCTGCAGTGCCGGCATCCCATATGGGCGATGGTTCAAGTCCCGGCTGCTCCACTTCCGATCCAGCTCTCTGCTGTGGCCTGGGAAAGCAGTAGAAGATACCCCAAGTCCTTGGGCCCCTGTACCCGCATGGGAGACCCGGAAGTAGCTCCTGGCTTCGGATTGGCACAGCTCCCAGCCATGGCGGCTGTCTGGGGGAGTGAACCAGCAGATGGAAGACCTCTCTCTGTAACTCTACCCTTCAAATAATATAAATCTTAAAAAAAAATAAAAATAAACCTAACCATGGCTCTGGCTGGCACTATGGCATAGTGGGTAGAACCACTGGCTGCGGCACCAGCATCCCACATGGATGCTGGAGAGTCCTGGATGCACCACTTCTGACCCAGCTGCTGCTACTGTGCCTTGGAAAGCAGCAGGTGGCCCAAGTACCTGGGCCACAACACTCATGTGGGAGGCCCGGAAGAAGCTGGGCTTCTGGCTTTGGATTGGCCCAGCTCTACCCATGTGGCCTTTTGGGGAGTGACTATCTCTTACTCTCTATCTCTGTAACTCTGCCTTTCCAAAAAATAAATAAGCCTTAAAAAACAAAAACAAAAAATACACTGCTGCTCTTGGGCTGGTGTTGTGGTGCAGTGGTTTAAGTCACTACCTGTGATGTCAGCATCCCATGTGAGGCTCATTCCAGTCTCAGATGCGCCACTTTTTTTTATTTTTTTAATTTATTTGACAGAGTGAGAGAGAGAGAGAGAACTCTTCCTTCTGTTGGTTCACTCCCCAAATGGCCACTACGGCTGGTGCACCACGCTGATGCGAAGCCAGGAGCCAGGTGCTTCTCCTGGTCTCCCATGCGGGTGCATGGCCCAAGCACTTGGGCCATCCTCCACTGCCTTCCCGGGCCACAGCAGAGAGCTGGACTGGAAGAGGAGCAGCCGGGACTAGAACCCAGCGCCCATATGGGATGCTGGCACCACAAGGCAGATGATTAACCAAGTGAGCCATGGCACCGGCCAGATGCTCCACTTCTGATCCAGCTCTCTGCTATTGTGTCTGGGAAAGCAGCAGAGGATGGCCCAAGACTTTGGGCCTCTGTCACCCATGCACGCGGGAGACCCGGATGGAGTTCCTGGCTTCAGCCCAGGCCGGGATGTTGCAGCCATTTGGGGAGTGAACCAGTGGGTGAAGATCCCTCTGACACTGTCTTCCAAATAAGTCTTTAAAAAGACAAAAACACGGCCGGCGCCGCGGCTGACTAGGCTAATCCTCCGCCTTGCGGTGCCGGCACACCGGGTTCTAGTCCTGGTCGGGGCACCGGATTCTGTCCCAGCCCAGCTCTCTGCAGGGAGTGCAGTGGAGGATGGCCCAAGTGCTTGGGCCCTGCACCCCATGGGAGACCAGGATAAGTATCTGGCTCCTGCCATTGGATCACCGCGGTGCCGCAGGCCATTGGAGGGTGAACCAACGGCAAAGGAAGACCTTTCTCTCTGTCTCTCTCTCTCACTGTCCACTCTGCCTGTCAAAAAATAAATAAATAAAAAAAAAAATAAATAAAAAGACAAAAACAAAAATATCCCCCCACAACACAAATCAAAAAAAAGGCACATGGCTCAGAGGGGAAAATACACACGTGTGGCCTCATCACTCACGGCTCAGTATTTGTGAATTCACCTACACACGGAGGCCGAGCAGAGCAATACTCTGCCTTATTTCAGCTCCATTACTGTACGTGTCATTTTTATGGTTTATTTAGTGTCACATTTTTCACATTTTTGTGCTTTCTGTTGGTGATTTTGCTGTTTAAAATGGTCCCCATGTGAAATACTTGAGTGCCATTTAGCACTCCTGGAGAAAACACGTGTGCGAGGTGAGTTTTGCCCCGGCTTGAATTATAGC